AACTGAATATTGTTTAGCCTACCTCTTATTGTCATTTACAACCAAAATCTACCCATCTTCTACTGACTACTGTAACAAAACACCTATCATCACTAGCTGGTTTCACAAACTTGACCATGAATTGACCATGAGTGGAACAAGGGATTGACACTAATGGAACACTATAGCGTTAGAAATACTAACCTGTATTTCTAACACTATAGTGTCCCTGTCCCTACTCTACATGAGGTCCCCCCATGCAATAGAAATGTAAAGATAAAGATTCACTCGGTGCTGCCTACTTCTCTGCCTTCCGCAAACGTCCCAGACGAGGTATGGACTTCTCTTAATGTGTATACGCAGTAAGCGTCGCACACATATTCAAACTTTCCCATAGGAAAGCACTGAATCGATGGTTTCCTATGGAGATCCACGTCACATGGCTGAATTTTATTTGGTCAGGGCAGTGGAAGCACTTCTAGTGGTTGTCAACGTAGCATGATAGCCACCAGAGGTGGACATAACAATTCAATGTAAACATTGCAGTTTCTCAAAAGCTGCAACATTTTACAAAGGGAAACTGCACCCAGACCACTTCATTGAGGTGAAGTGGTCTGGGTGACTATATTGTTCCTGTAAGTCATTGTGTAATTGCCTCCAGTATCTACATGCCAGTCGGACAACCACATGGATTGAAAGAAGCAGAACATATCTGCTGGCTGGAGGTTTCTGGTTAAACACCATGGAGAGGACATTCATTCTTTTCAAGATAAGCTTTTATTGTGGGCTATTGGCTCTTATGTTTACCATGGCTTAGTGTGAGTTCATGAACTGTAAGCGATACATGTATTTACATATTTTACTGCACATACAGTGTTATTTACTAAAAGTGAGACTTCAAAGAGTACTTCAAATTAAGGACAGCGCAGCCGATCAGTTTGGCTATTTTGACCTTAAATTTGAAATTTACGTTCAATTCACCTTGAATTCTCCCTTTAGTAAAATAACCCTTTATATTAAGAATATATAAAAAAACATATATTTCTTTAGTGAAACTAGAAGACTATCCAACAAAGACAGAACACTGTGCAACAGACAGTTATGGAGTATTGACAAAGTTACTGCAAATCTGCATAAAGAAAACAACAAACAAGAGTTTTAAAAAAAGAAAAAAAGATTAAATGTATAAAAATTTACTTAAAATTTGCAATGACCTCGTCAGTTCTCCATGGGTTCGCATTTCGCAGATGACAATGCTGTTTTTTTTTTTTTTTGTATAGCTGGTGGATGTTGAAACAAACTTACTTTAGAAGCAAACTATAAATGTCAACTGTAAAGAAGAACATTTTAAATCAGAGATATATTCTCCCCCAATTAATTTCAAATATCTGGGCAACTGTGTTCTTTAGAGTACTCAAGTGTGTGAACATCATAAGTCCCAATTCTCGGTAAGGCCAATGTACAATAGACAGACGAATGGTCAAAGGAGAACATACTCACTGTGAATTAGTAGGCACGGTGCCAACCATTTGGGCATGTCATTCGGGTACATGCGCAGTAACTCACTTTACAGCCAGATTCGGCTATTCTTACAGTTTAGTATTCCAGAGAAATTAGCGGCATAAAAAAAAACCAGGGACTAGAATGGACGCCATTCCTGAAAGCTCCTCCAAACACAGCTTGAATCCATCGAATATCTCCCCAATAAAGCCCCATCTGACATTAAAAACACTCCAGCTGACCTACCTGATCGGCGCCACACCGATAGATGCCATTTTTGTACACGGCAAAACACTCCAAGCCGCGGCGCAGGACCGCGGCCTACTACGCGCCGACGATCCAGGGCCTAGAGGCTATCCTACGCGGCAGCTACACACATAGTCCGCCAGACACCGTGCTTCACGCCACACACACCACCCAACACTCCATGCCTGCAATGGGACGCTGGTCCCAAAAACCGAACTCCACAGCAGAGAGCAGGGACACAAAGGATACATGCTAAGGCAGCCTGCACAGCCCAGAACACTCAGTACAGAGGACCAAGGGGCTAGTAACAAGGCGCAGAGGGAGAAAGAAACCCACGCTACTCACACAGGCAAGTCTCATACAATCTGTTGAGACCTCTGATGGGTTGGCCCCTACTACCAAAAATGATTTGAAAATCCTGCTTGCAGATATACATAAACTATGGACAGAAGACTTAAAACTACTGAGAAATGACATACAAACCATCACAGACAGGGTGCAAGCCGCAGAGTAGGACATCCTTGACACCAGATCAGATATCAAAACCCTTAAAGAGACAGTGGACCAGCTCCAAGCACATCACTGTGAAACAATAAAATAATAGAGATACAGTAAGAAAAGTGTGTGTGATAGCTGAAACAGCCGTAAACCACCTAAGTGGAAACCCCTTATACCACTTGAAATCAAATACAATAAATACATACAATAGGTGGAACACACATCCAAGCACATCACTCACACTTCTCCCAGCAACTCGTGGCCTTAGAAGACAAACAGCGCCGAAACCATATTAAAATACGCGGAATCCCTGAGAAAGTAACAGCCGAGAAGCTCCCACACTATCTCCGCAGGCTACAGTACTAACCACCATATTACCCCACGCCACCGCCAAAACAATAATCATAGACGGGGTACATCGCATCAATAGCTCTGCCAAGCTGACACCTGGAGCGACAAGGGACGTTATCCTCAGATGCCTAACCTTCCAAGACAAATCCCGAATCATAACAGTCCTGAGGAACAAAACACCTCTGGCCTTTGAGGGCTCCTCCTTGTCTTTTTTTCAAGACCTCACCAAAAGCACACTACTCTGGCGCAATTCACCTCACAACTGAGAAATGCAGACATCACTTACCGCTGGGGAGCCCCGGGGACCTTGGTAGTACCCCACAACGGAACTAATCACACCATCACCTCTGTCGAAGAGGCACCAGCCCTCCTGAAAGCACTGGGACTGATAGGGCAGAACAGGGGACTGCAATATGACATCAACACCGAAAACTGGGACCCAGACTGCATCACTCCCTTTATCCCAAGGAATGGCAACGCGCAAGCTACTAACACCTGAACGCACCCGAGTCTGGAAATGGAGAACTGTCTACGAGAAAGTTTACTAACCCTGTTGAGATATGGTTTAAATTTGTTTGTCCTCTTATCTCTCTTCTATTCTTTTACATCTACCATGTTTGTGTAGAATGCATAGCAACTGGAGACGACTAATCCCGAACTGGCCCGTAGCTTGAAACCTCCTGACTTCTCACAACGCCCCCCCCACCGCTGCCCCCTAGGTCAGGGGTACTTCATAGAAACAGAGGTCTGACCCCCATGCCGGGAGATATAGCACTACTGCTGCACACCTGATATACCGGATTTAAGATCACCAGACAATCCTTAGAATAAGCCCAGGGAGAACACCTACCAACCTCTGCAAGAGAGAATATGCTGACTCCATTCCAGCCCACTAGATACAGACTCCCGAGCATATTAACACCCAAAGCACGGGAACATCTGAGAGCTCTCACTCATACAGAAACCCCCATACCCAATCGCCCTTCTCAGACATATCCCGAAAATTTACCACGTTGCATTATGGAGAAAAATAAAAAAGGTGCCATGACACGGCAATGCTATTGTAAAACCACTCTGTATATCTGCATCTTACAAATTTGCCATGTACCAACCATGTCTTTGCTATGCACCACCAAAATAAAGAATACAAAAAAAACAAAAACCCAGAGACCCACTATGTGAATACACACACACACTTGGGTGCCACGAGAAGTGGAGTTTGACAAAAAGGAATGTTTATTTATAAAATATTTCACATAGAAGGATACATTGAGATTTCTCTCAATTTCAAGCATGTCCATGTTTATGCTTCAAAATTTGTTTTTTTATTTATTTTAACCCCTTAAGGACCAAACTTCTGGAATAAAAGGGAATCATGACATGTCACACGTGTCATGTGTCCTTAAGGGGTTAAACTTGGAACTTTTAACGTGACAAAATCCTATTGTTGACCACAAATGTACATCTAGCCAATTTTTTAATTGTTCTCGGAGAACCCCCTCCTTCTATTAGACAGACAGTTAACACCCACTCAATTCCACTATAGCGGATCAAAGAACACATTTACTATGAAGTGCTGTAGTAGCAGAGACTAGACTAGAGGCCCCTTTGGTGTGCTAACTGAAAGCAGTAAAGGGGCTCCCTCTAGAGGTTATAATGCATGTTGCAAGAACGCTATTTATTTCTGTAACTTGTCACTGTTATCATGGAGGATGTCTACATCTGACTATAATGAACCAATGACAAAGGAAAAACAAAAAATATACGCCTAACACATCAGGAACTCGAAAGACACAAGAGTTGAAAAGAGAACTGAGAGACTTCTAGTAGAATTCTTTCTGGCCGATGGAAATACTTAAAAAGTATGGGCAATCATATAATATATGGGCAATCATTTAATATAAGGCCAATTCACTCATTACCAGGTTTTAACCACCAGTACGGAGAGTCATCAAAACTTCAGGACTCCGTGAATCTACCTCTGTGACAGAAATGAAGGGAGTCCCTTGACCAAGTCATTTTGTGATATCAGTGGGGGTTGGGGTTCCCTACAGCCTTAAATTAAAAAAAAAATGCAATTAATATATATTTCTATAAATTATAAAATAATAATAATATGTATAATTATATATTATTTCTCAGTATTTCAGGAGACTTGGTGCTTACAATGAAATTATGCCATAATCAGACCTGGGACTTTTCAGAAACCCACTTGAAGCTCTTGTCCCCGTCAGCTCCCTCTTTAGCAACAACCCTGAGGCTTTGTACATTTACATTTGTACAAAACTGACATCAAAGGGATTAGTAAAAACTTCTCCTATTGGCTTTCTCTGAGCCAGTGGGGTCTGCAGGTATTGCTCAATGGGAGCAAGTGCTAACAAATCCAATGACTGTCCCTGTAAGGCAGGCTTCCCCAAACTTCGGCCCTCCAGATGTTGCTGAACTACAACTCCCATGATTCTCTGAATGAAATAGATAGGCTGAGAATCATGGGAGTTGTATTTCAGCAACATCTGGAGGGCCAGAGTTTGGGGAAGCCTGCTGTAAGGCATGATTGATGCTGTGCATAGCTATTTCGCATACATTCTCTTTATTATAAGCAATTGTAGCTATTTCTTTCCCAATATTAGGAACCACTGTATTAAAGGGACACTGTCTCCAAGAACCATAGCAATATATCTTGAGTTAGACGCAATTAACTCCTAGAATCAGTCTTCTTTCACTCCATCAATTTGTTTGCAGTGTTTTCCTAAAAAAAAAAAAAAAGGAGTTATGTCCTCACCTGCCTACTCTCTAATATGGTGGCATCACCTGAACACTGCAATTGTATACATGGTATCCGTGCCCAGTAATTCCATTGGTTACACATAGGAATTGTTTTGTATGTGACAAATAAATTGCAGAACCTATACGAGTCACATAAGAGAAGCCAGCGGCAGACCCAACTGCAATTCATTTCACTCATGAAAACATATGAATGAGGATGTCTGAAGGCTTGAATGAACTCGCCCAAGCAGCTTCCTTTATGTTTTTGACATTCACCCCACTGTCACGGATTGGCAAGTGATTCTGTCCAAGACATCTCATTACGATAATTGGTGTGTTTTCAGTGAAAGGTGCACCCAGTAAATAAGGTGATAAATATATATATATATATATATATATTTTTTTTTTTATTCCCTAAATTCCAAATTGTAGCAAATTAAAATCCAAATCACCAAAATTCAGGCAAAAAAAAGCTGATTTGGAAAAATAGTCTAATTCAGCTAGTCACGGCTTTTGTATGTATTTTAGAATAATCTTGCCATATTTTAGTTCAATAGAATTTGGCGTTAAGTCAATAAACCCCAGAGACAAACCTTTCCCTGTAAAATAGTATTTACTTGCCCGCAGCCTTTACTATCCCTTGGGCCCTGATCAGTTTTTAAAGTACCTGTGAAGATTAGCCGGTGTCACAGTTATTTCTATCCTACATTGTCAGCTTCCTGCCTGTGGTTTGAGCAAACATTCCCGGCGTGACTGTGGTCTCATATTTCTGGCAGAGAATATTCTGTAGTTGTCTTTGGAATAACTTTGTATGTTTGGGTGTTGTGAAGGGTTCCTGTCAATGCTGCCCTACACATTTACAGTCTGGGGACACGTGTACTGGCATGAGCGAGATTATTGCCTTCATGCTCTGGCAACTAACAATGCACAAAAATCCCGGTTACATGGTAAACATCAGAATTTATGTCTTTTCACTGAGTTGGACCTTGCTTCATTAATAAACACAAAAAAAAAACAGCAATCCAACCACGAATACAAGTACATAAATACAGTTATCATATTGTGGGTAGCCCAGGGTTATACATGGAATGAGTGGTAATTCCTATCCCATTTACAATTTATGGATGTATAAATACCCTCAATTTTAAGCTCATAGTCTGCACTTCCCTTGGTGCTGGGTAGGCGCTCCGACGTCATCCGACAGAAAGGTCTTCAACACGCATGCACGGAGAGAGCATTAGACACTCCCCTTAGGAATGCATTGTTGGGATTTTACGGATGCTGCGGGTCTTCAAGTAAAACATTAGGATGTCCAGCATCCGATAGGCAACCAAAAGTTTCCTAGCCACCAGGAAGTGCCTCTAGTGGCTGTATGATTGACAGCCACTTGACGCAGTCTTAGTAGAGCAATGTAATTATTGCTGTTTCTCTAAAACTGCAATGATTTACATTGCAGGTACAGGGACACTGCACCCAGACCACTTTAATGAGTTGAAGTGGTCTGGGTGCCTATAGTGCGCCTTTAAAAAGTAGCTTCAAATCGTTAAAGAATATTTTTGGGAATGCATAATTTGTAAAGAGGGGAATAACATGATAAAACTTCAAACATGCATAGTTGTACATTTCAAATTTGAAAATATATACATTCCCTATATCCGTAGGATAGAATGCATCTGAGTTGCTTAAAATATAACAGTATACACTCTTTAGTGAAAACGTGCATTTATTTCTTCTGCATGTTTTTCTTGAAGGTATATGAAAAAAACAGCTTGGTGGCTGCAGCCTTTGCAAGCACCCCTCCTTTCAGTCTGTCCTCATTAAAAAGCCTCGTTGCGGGAGTAGCGAGCATGCACGGCTTTCCATTCATAGAAATATCAATGAGCTGCAATACAGATCAATGACATGTTCTGGCAGGCACATTCTTGGTCTGCACACCTGCCACTTCTGTTAGCTCTGTGGAAGTTGAAGAAGAAAAAGGAAACCACTCTGGCTGTCTGATGGCTGAGATGTTTCTTCATGGAACAGCAGTTAATCTTATTTACAAAAGTATATTCAATAGATATTGACAATTTAATAAATTAACCTTGTTACACCACGCTAGCTGTAAATCAGACAACCTGTGCTGTTACTTCCTGGTTTGTTTAGCTCAGTGGAGTTAAACTCAAGAGGCAACAATTGCCCAGAGCACCTGCCTTGCATAGACTGCTCATTGAGCTACCTTGGAAAATCTGTGATTGGACAGTCACAGAGAGACTGGGCAGGGTTAGAAGAGGAGGGTTTGCAAGGGCTGCAGACAAGATATCTGCAGCATTTGCAAGATATACCCCAATGAAAAGAAAGCATATTTAAAACAGATGCATGTTTCCACTGGGAATATATCTACTAAACAGTAATTTTTATTTTGTATTTGATCAGTGAAGTGTCCCTCGTAAGTATTTATTTTATTAATACTATTAAAAAGCTCATATCTTAAGTTCTTGCCATTACCCATGCACAGGTTTTCACTTGCTGTAAAAAAAAAAAAAAGAAAGAAAAAACACACCTGCATACCCTGGTTTGGGATGCACAGATTTTCTCCTAATAACAGATTAAAAGTCACCAATATGCTGGTTTGTGTAAATAAAACTATCTGCACTTTCCAATCTCAGTTTGTATATCCAAAGCTGCTGCAATAAATCATTCTGGATGTTTCTCTCCCCTCTCTCTGCTGCTGCTCTCATGCAGAGCCAGTCCCTCCTCCTTACGTCCCCTTTGCATGTATTGCTTTCACTTAGGCTGAATTCAATCATTAGAGACACCCAGGTAGGGGTTTCTTGATAAAAGACTTGCAGAGCACAGTCATTTTATATCTGTTGGCAAAGACTGAACTGAGAGGAGGGGGATGGGCTGCTTTTAACCACTGATTTTAGAAAAATATAAACATTTGCTAGCAGGGGGCGGGGCCTGACAGCCGAGCCGGCAAGACGTGTACACAGCGAGCTCCGACACAAATAGGCTCAAAATTGACTCATATTTACCAAGATCTCGACCAACGCTGTCCAGCTTGCTGATAATCCACGGCTGGACCGAGTGGGGGCTTGTGGATGCCCGTTTTGTGCAATCCTGCTGAGAGAAACCACGCTCCACCGATGCGGCCTAGCAGGGAAGGCGGCCTAGTGGCTGGGAGAGGCGGCCGATCTCCCGCCCTGGGGACCGCTACAAGCAACAATGCTCCTGGAGTCCCGCGACCCCCCCCTTTGGACCGGTGGGGGTCATCCCGGTCCCCGCTGGGGAACCTCACTACCATGCCTCAAAAGGCTGGTTTACCTGAGCGGAGATCGCAGTTCAGGAACAAAATGGCCGCTGAACCACAACTCATGCAGTATCAAACATGCACCACAATCCAGAACTGGAGAGTGCACTTTGAGGCCCGATTTGACCAAATAAGCTAAGAATTCTGGCAGCGTGTGGAGCACAAAGCCACCCACCCTGCTATAACTACTACAAAGGGGAAGGAAGCCGCGGCGGCGGCAACTTACAGACCCAGTGCCCACACGAAGCCACATCCATCCTACAGACGGGCCCGCCGCAGGACTCTCCCGACGCCTCACAGCACAGCCGCACGCCAACATAGACCACCCACCCCGCGACCTCGCTGCAGTCTCTCGGTACGGCACTCGGATGGGAGCAACACACCCACCCGCAAACCACTCCGGTGGAGAGCACACGCATGGCAACGCAGACCCAGAGCACAGCGGAGGCCCAAGGGACAGTACCCGACAGCAGTGGATGGCAGTACAGCTACCGTGGTCCGAGAACACATGGGCGCCCGGGACCGGAGCGGCCCTCACCTGCAGAGCAGCAGACCCTTGATCTCAGGAGGTGACAGCCAGCCAACTGTAGGCATTGGTTAAACTATCCCTCCTAAGTATGTTCCCTGACAGAAATGTCACCCCAGGGAAATGTTGCTGGACTTGTGGGTCTCTACCTTTAACCCTCAGCCCTTAGCAGCCACACAATTGATACAATCAGCCAGGGACTGCATCAAATCTCAATGGACATTGTGCTTCCATTTTTCATTTTGACTGCACTCTCATACTTACTAAAAGAGATGAATAAACCAGTCACACTAATTTAGCACCATACCCACTGCACATAACCGACTAAAACTATGCCTAGCAACTATTCCTGTATGAAACCAAACTATATACACATAATCTGAAAATGAGTACCCAGTGGTTCCCACACTTAAGAGTTAATCGTTGTACAAACACACACTAATCCTCTGCTACCACACATATATCTTATAAGCTAACTAAAAGTTGAAGCAAGGTGTTACTACTAGTGTTTGACTACCATAAATTAGCATGACCTTTATTACTGAACACACTTGCTTATCACCTGGCATTAATGGCACCAGCTGGTTAACATATAGAACAGAGCAGCTCATGTCACAGTTTACGCAAAGCTTTATCTTGTATCTTGCATACTCCTGCTAAAAAGTTGCTATAATGCCTATAAGCACACTAAATATACAAGCAAGTCTTTAAGCATGTTGTTACACCTACTTAAAAATTGTGCATGTCTTTCTCACTGCCCTACTACATGTAAACTATGTATTGCGAATCTACTGTCATTGGCCGTTGGGGCATGACAAAAATGTGTATATTTCTCTGCACTACAAAATAAAGAATTAAAAAAAAAAAAAAAAACATTTGCTAGCAATTCTGCTAGCACAATGTATAGATGAGAGTTGATTCTATAGCATTCAAAA